CTTCGCTTTCTCTAGGGAACACGCCTCGCAGTGGAGGTCCTCACGGTGTTCGAGTTCAATTTGTTGATTTTTCGCAGCGGAGGCAACCTTCCTGCATGACCGTATCGCCGGTGCAGGAGCAGGGGGTCCACCACAGCGAGGGCCAACCCTGCATCCTCCGTACGCACGAAAAGCACGTTTTTGCATGCTTGCAGGTGGCCTACCACTTTGTCATCCTGCTCCCTGCGTAGGGTCAGGTCCTTTGTGTTCGCGTATATTCCGAATTCCTTGCACAGGCGGTCCGCCGAAAGGAGGCCGTAGGCGAGGTCCGGCTGGTAGAACGCTTTGACCTTGACCTCGAGGCGTTCGTTGTTTGCAGATAGGAACGGGGTCTGGTAGCCAGCAGATCTAGCAACACCAACACTCCCATCAGATGTTCCGTATTTGTAGAAGTTGGAGGCATTGAGTTCGTGATATTCGTTAAGCGAGGCGCGGTCAGGGGTCAGATGCTGGGAGCTTCCTGTACTGTAGATCCTGTCGGCTACGGGCAGGATCAGTGGCTCTGAGATACGTGGCCAACAGGAAGAGACGTGTCGCCAGAGGAGAGATGAAGAGGTGGCCTTGGGTCATGTGACCACCATCATTCACACACCCCCCTGGGCACGAGACCCTGAGGCATCGTGATATCATTTTGACTATCTAAGTAGTGAGCTATGATACATATCTTGTCGCTAAGCCTGCTTGGTAAGGCGGATCATCCGGCAGAATTCCCGATGGCTAGTAGTATCAAGGGGTTTCGTTAGTCCGTCTGCAGGATTCTCTGTACCACCTATGTGTGTGATCTTCAGTAAGCCTTCTTTGTAGCAATCTCGAACAAACAGCAAGCGATTATCGATCCATCGGTTGTTTGGAGCGAAGGTCGGGTTCTCTATGAGTGACAACGCATTGGCCGAATCAGTAAAGACTGGGATTGCCTTTGGGATAGCAAGACCAAGTGCTTGCGCCAGTTTCTTGATCCAAAGGGCTTCCTTGATAGCGTTATCAAATGCAATGTACTCTGCTAGAGTTGATGAACTTGCAACTATTGTTTGTTTCTTACTGCTCCAGGATACCGGGGAGCCCGCGTAGAAGATCACATAGGATTCTGTAGATTTCCCATCTGCATGGTCCTGGAAAGCAGCATCAACATAAACTTCAAGTGTTGCTTTGTGGTCGAGGGCGAGTGTCAAATCAAAGCGGTTATTCGCTAGGTAACGCAGGAGGTTCTTTGCCGCTGCAATATCAAATGATGAAGGTGCATGGCTTTGGCGCTGAAGGCGGAAGACAGCATGTGTTATATCTGGTCGTGTCCGTATGCTTAGCCAGTTCAATCGACCAAGTAACCGCGCGTATCGCTCAACATCCTCCCGATCGACGCTTGGGTCCTCTGGGCGGTGGTTCCGATAGCCTGGATTCATAGGCATATGCTGAGGCGAAGACTTATCCATTTGGTAAGAAACCAGTAGATCCTCCGTGTATGAATGCTGACTGAGGGTTATTGTTCCAGCTTCTTCATTCCTGGTCAGTGTGCTACCCAGGAAGCGTGCTGGAGGTCCCAGGCGCTTAACCTTGAAATGCTGGGACATATCATCAGTAATATTGTCGATACCCGTAGTAGTCTGATCAGCAAGAATAAAATCATCAACATAGACAATAATAATTGCAGATCCCCGGAGGTAGATACATGGATCCTCTGCAATTGGTTTGAATCCCATCTTTCGGAGTTGTTGATCAAGTTCCTTATTCCAGAGGTGGCCTGCCTGTCGTAAGCCATATAAGGCCTGTTGCAGGAGGCAGACATTATTAGAATCTTGTTCAAAGCCTGTGGGCTGGCGCATGTAGATTTTACGGTCATCCACCGCACTGTGTAGGAAAGCAGTTATGATGTCAACTTGTTCCCATGCTAGCTTCCGGACAGCTATCGCGGTTAGTGCCATTTTCACTGATGTTTCAGAGGCAACCGGAGCATGTGTAGTGTCGAAGTCCTCTCCTGGTTTCTGGCGATTGCCACATACGACCCATCGTGCTTTGAAGCGTATGACATAGCCGTCAGCGTCTTCTTTTAGGGCGTAAACCCACTTGCCTGGGAGTATATGAACATTCTGGTGGTCTGTTGGAGGAGGAACTATCTGATAGACCTTCATATCCAACAAGCTTTTAACCTCTGTGGTCATAGCTTCACGCCATAGGTCTGCATGCGGTGACTTCGTTGCTGCTTTATAGGATAGTGGAATTGTGACATCAGTGACCCGCAATCCTGGCTCTATCGCTAAATATGCCTGATTATCCCCATACCATTTTGGTGGGATTCCTTTCGTCGTTCGTGACGACACGCGTCGTTGCGTTTCCTGGGGTTCAGTAGGTTCTGGTTCTTGAGCTGCTGCAGAGGGTGCAGGAGCTTGGGTTTGGATCTCTGTATTCCTTGGTAGAGTTGCTTGGGGCGTTGGGGTTTGCGGAGAGTCAGATACTGTAGGTCGCCATCTGGAATGCTCTAGGCCTCCGCTTGAAGGAATAGTGACATCTTCACCAAATAAATGGTTCCATCTTTCTTGTCTCCGTAGGGGTTCAGGTACCAGGTGTAGAAATTGGTTGAATCTCGGCAGCGCCGGTTGGGGGTGGAGGTCTCGTTTACGTGGAGCCTGCGGTATTGAAAACTGGTAGGATTGAGCAGGTGGTCTGGCCGGTTCCAATGGCTCACCCGGAGGTGTAGTTGTTGCAGGTTCAGAATGGTCAATATCCATTGGTTCAGGTCCATCTATATCCATCGGGTCATTCAATATGTTTGGTAGAGATGTACGGGCCTCTGGTTCCCGCTGTCTAACTAGAGGGCGTGCTAGGATTGTTGGTGATTGTTCAATCTGTCCCATGCATTCCTGTATTGTCGGAAGTCGGTTTTCTTCACGCGGTTGAATTCGAGGTGCTCGGGGCGCAGCCGGCGTTCTTGGTGTAGGAGACAATGTTTGGACACGGCCTCGTATTGGTGATTCTTGACCCACAGGTGTAGCTGGGACGGGCATCGGAGCTTGTGGGGGCGGATTAGGGGCTGGAAGTAGGACAGGTGCTGCCTGCTGCTGCTTTAAAGATGCAGGTGAGTAATGAAAGTAGGTCCCACCCCCCGTAGGTTGATTAGGTCGTGGAGCACCCCCCGGAAGGGTAGCCTGATCTGGCTCATCTTTATCATCTTTGTAGGTCTTCAATTCAATGAACTTAACATCTCGGGATCGGTAGACTCGATTGTTTTCAGGAATCCAGATTTTAAAGATGTAGCCATGATCGCCTTCATATCCAACCAAGTAGCCAATGTTGGCACGTTCTGCCATCTTCATTGATTGTACACGGTCAGCTTGTGGTATATGAATGTAGGCTCGGCATCCGTAGACTCGTAGGTAGTCGAGAGCTGGTTTGGGATTTAGAATGCCGTAGTGCTCCCGCCATTTCTGGACCGGAGACTTCCCGCTAGGATCATTGACATGGGAAAGTCAGTTAATAATCATATTTGCAGTCTCTACTGCAAAGGGCCAAAGTTCCTGCGGCAAGCCTGCATCAATAATCATAGCGCGGGCAGTTTGATTAATATATCCTCCGTAGCGCTCAGATGGACCATTGGCCTCTGGTGTATGGGGCGGAGTTACTGTCACCTTAATGCCTTCAGCTTCTGCCCATTTCTTGAAGCCTTGGAATTCGCCGCCGCCATCAACTCTCCAGCCTCGTATATTGTATCCAGTCACGTTCTTATGTTCCTTGTTGAAGTTGATGAGGTTCTGGGTCGCATCAGACTTTGCTCGGAGAAAGCGAACTTCAGATCGTTGGGTTGCAGGATTGACCATGACAAGTGTATAAAGGAATCCGCCATAGCCTGTTGGTTTGATGGTTTGCAGATCTGCAGTCCATAAGTCTGTCGGGTCAGTTGAGGTAGTAATTGGAGTACGGGAGACTAGGCGTTTAGACTTAGCACGAAAGCATGCATCACAATTAAAATTTGAGATGCCTTCTGTCTGAATCTCTTCATGAGCTGCAACTGTTGCTTTCAGTCTAGGAGTCCCTGCATGTCCCAGTCGCCTATGTAGTAGATATGGGTCCAGCTTGACTGTCGCAGCTTGAATATTTGTATCCCTAAAGATCTTGACAAAGGGAACATTGTATTTCATATCAAAATAAGCAACAATCTTGTGCGTTCTGATCTCCCGGATCGTCCGGTCTGGGTATAGCCAGTATCCGTATGTCTCCTCAATCCGGCCCTGGCTCAGGATGCCAAACTGCATGTCTGGATTGTAGTATGCTTGGTCTCTGATTATTGTAAATCGACCATGTCCAGCATCAAGCTTAACTAGTATTGTTCCAACTCCTGTAGCTTGGCCCTGTCCAGCATGAGAGGTTTTGTACCTGTATGGTTTCTCATTGGGGCGAAAATCCCGATAATCGACAAATTGTGTAAGATCTGGAGTAATATGCTGACCAGCTCCAGTATCCCATAGCAATTCAGACTTCATGGTCAATTCGGATGTGTTTATCGCCATACCAGAGAATTGGAATGTGTCATCATAGTGGACGGCGACATTAGATTGTGCTGGGAGTTCCGGGCGGGCTGGTTGGGTATTTGTTTTGGCTGTCGGAAGATTTGGAGGCGTTGCTGTTTGGGTCTGGTTTGCTTGTTGACCATATTGATAGGCAAAGATTCCTGATTGTGGACGCCATTTCTTCCATCGTTTGGCTGGAACTAGGTATGCGCATGTAGAAACATCATGTGGATGCTGCATACAGTAAGAGCAGAGTCCCTCTGTACGCGCAGGTTGGAATGCAAGCCATTGTTTAACCCATTCATCCTTATTCACGTCTGTGGGTGGCCAGCGTTTGTGATCTTTAGGAATATTTGTTGGTTTATTATTCTGATTCCTGTTATTTGCTCTGCGGCCCCCTTGCTGGGTTGTATTCAGTGAGCTTGTCATCGCACTTGCAGATACTTCATCTGTTTCAGCTGCTGTTTCGGCTTTTTCTGAGGCCTCAATGCATAATTCATAGAATTGGCTGTCAGTGAATTTGCTGTTATCAAAGCCATCAAGTTGTTTCTCAATTATGTCGCACCATCCCGGTAAGTCTGACCGTATGTTGGTAAGTAGGACAATTGCAGCAAAGTAAGCTGGATAGCCACATGCTAGTCGTTGAGCTAGGTCAAAGGTTTCTCTGAAGCTATCGATGTACTGTGGGACTGTTGAGTATTGGTTTCGACGCATCTTGTAGAGCTTGGACGCAACAATCTTGTGTTTACTGAATCCTTTGCCCAATACAATCTTTCTAATCTCGTCGAATGTCTCGTCAGCGTAGTAATTCTTAGCGTTCTTGCCTCGCAATTTTGTAGATATCTCTCGTGAAATTTGGCCAGTCAACCAGGAGGAGATAAAAACACTCCAATCTTCCCATAGTTGATAGTTGGCACTGGTTGCAGCCGGTCGGGGAATTGTAATATCAATCATTGGTGCACAGTAGAGGACTCGAAGCTTGTTATATACTTCAAATTGCCATGCTTCAAAGTCTTCTTTTCCAGTCAGTTGGTCTCTGAGGTCTGGTAGAATACTTGGCGGTTTGCCATCCAGAGTTCTTCCATTCTGATTCATTTGATCATCAGCCGCTGGTGGATGCGCTGGGTTTGCTGGGTTTGCCGGTGGCAGTTGTTGTCCTCCAATCGATGCCATTGTGGATTTGTCTGTACAATCTGATTGGAGCGATGTTTATTTCGGGTGTAGGATCGTCACGTTGTTGTGATTCGTTTTCGGACGCGTCTTGGCGCCGGGTAGTTGTCTTAACCAATAGATATCGGTTTAGATACAGTTATTTTTGATGAAAATTGATGAAAATTGATGATTTTTGACGTATCTGGTTGTCTTTCGAGCTTGCCGGGCTCATAACCTGTCGGCTACGGGCAGGATCAGTGGCTCTGAGATGTCGCCAGAGGAGAGATGAAGAGGTGGCCTTGGGTCATGTGACCACCATCATTCACAGGCTGGAGTTCGAGCGCTGCGTGAAGTGCTGCAACACCGGATGCCGACAAATAGCCCATGATGAACGTGGCAATTTCATGATACCCTTCATGTGTGAGCAGCATCTGAAGCCAGTCATTTTCTCTTCTCCGCATGTTATCTTGGCACAGGGCAAGCCGGTCCATTTGAATTGACGAAAGAAGGAAAGTGAAAAGAGGAGAGTAGGATGTAATCAGACAGAGAGCACAGAAAACATTCAGTCCAGAAGAGAAAGAAGAAGGGCGAACAGTGAGAGAGAATCAAGCACAAGAGCTCTAAAGACTTTGAGCTTAAAAGGGAGAGATATGTATGTAAGCAAAGAACATGGAAGTTCACCGTCTGAGAAGGGATACAGAAGACATTTACACAATTTGTTCATCCTGGCACCAGCACTTTGGAATGGCTGCATAGGGGACTAGTTGCTCTTGTAAACGACAAATCAGATCATACGCTCTATTAGCCACTGAGGAACCGCTGCATGTCTCTCCAGATGTTGAGAGTGGCTCCTAGGAGCCTCGATCACGGTCCCATGAGCCAAGAAAGATGTAAGATCTGGATGGGGAGTTCTTCGGTGCAGAGCATGCCTCTCGGGTGTTAGCTAACACTCGAAGTGCACTGGCACAACCGCACAGACCTTTTTTACTGTATACATTCGTGAAGATAACAGATATGAATTCTACGTCAATACCGGAGTAAGACTCCAGCTTACCAGCACATATGTTTGCGGGCATAGAGTGACAGAAAATTATTCCAGCCTATTACAGGGGTTACTCAGGCTGACAGT